GTTTACCTTTGTTGTAATCAGACTCTAGGGGATATTACTTGGATTGGATTAGATGAGTATATCAAATCAACTTCGGTCGGCATCAGGTTGAAGTTTGACCTTGGACGGCCTTCGTTTCTGGCGCGGTAGTGCTAAGCAGTCTTCGACTCTGAATCGAAAGGCCGGATTTGTTGCGTGAGGCTGAGGCAACACTAACACTACCCGGCCAGAAAAACAATCAAAAAATTTTTATGCAAATCTTAACGACGGTCACAACAGCGGTTGCCTGCAGAAAGCTGAACAGCTCGCAACTCCTGTGTTGGTCCTTCTTTCCTGCTTAAGCAGAAAAGCTAGTAAAGAGGAATTTTTCTCGAAATCAGTTTTTGTGCTTCACTTTTTCTGCTTGCTTCTTCTGATGGCGTATTTGTACATGTATTAAATGAACCTCTGCTTTACTTATGATCTATTAATGTCCGGAATTTAGATCATGCTCTATCTGAACACTTTCTAAGCTAATCACGCGCACTTCATTTTTTGTTAAAATCGATAATGAACAACTTCTGACTTCAAGCTTCAACTTGCATATGTTTTTGCATCAAAAACTGTGCTTTCTTAGCAACAATTCACCTTTCACCGGAGACAATCAACAATTCTCATAAAGCTCATTAAGCAAATCTGATATGTAGCCGCGCTCAGCTGACAGTTTGCGTATCTAACATTTAGCGCGTGACTGTGAGTAGAGCTTCGGTTGGGGCCGCTTTGCTTGCGTAGTAAACTGAATTCTACCATTGATAATTTGTTTGTTTTTCTCACGTGGGCTGTTCAAGTTTTGGCTGTGTTAAATATGGTAATTTAGCAGAAGAAATAAAATAAAAGCAGGCTAATTCTAACATAGATTAATAATCTGTTTTAGTCTGTTTTTCAGTGCGATAAAGCGTGGCACCACCGCCATCACCATCTACTATCACTCAGTGGCTCAGTTGTTCATTTTCATCTAAGTTACTGGGCTGCTGTGAGAATTCATTTTAGTCACATATATTTAGTAGAGTTTAGAACAGACAACATGTGATCTGCAATAGCAGCAGTTGTCCCGCTGAGTGCAGATGTACTTGGTAACAATCGTTTAACAAAGCTGCTCTTTTTTGCCCCCCCCCCCTTCAACTGCAGTCTCAGTCAAACCTCATGATTATGCTTTGTTTTTAAACATAACTATTACTACAACTAGCCACCATTATAAAATTACATAAAATTATAATATTACACTATATGCATATGACCATATCATGAGTTTAATAAAATGCCGGCTTACGTGCTTTGAATCGCCTCTTCAGATGACGTGACCACCATCTCATTCGCTTTTGTGGCACCTTTTTGAAACTCCACTTTTTTGAAGAAAAAAAATCATTAGCAAAGTGGCCAGCGATCAGTGACTGTGTGCAGCTGATTAGTTTGTTTTTAGCTAACCATAGCTAAAATGATAATAAAGATGGAGATGTTAACTCTCCCAAAAATGTTAATCACTGATATACTTACTTATACAGACATACTTTTTGAGATTTTTTGGAATTTTTTGACCAAGAAATTGGGTCTTTTTGCGGCGTGCTCCCCCTAAAAAGCGCCGGTATAAATGTGTTAGGGTTGTAGAAGTATACACAATGGACTCGTAACGACATGAGTAAGAGAATGAAAAGACAAGGTCAATCGGCCGAACATTGATGTAAAATAGCATCGAAACGGGGACCCTTTGATTGATGAGGTCATATAAAGCTGACTCGGAATTCATCCTGATATTATGGTGAAACATTTAACCGATTAAAAGAGTTCCAAAAGTTCGTATTCAATTTTAGAAAAAGCTCCCCTCCTTCTTTTTTAATGACTGAAAATAACATATGTCGCGAATTTTTTCCCCTGAAATTCGATTAAAAATTATGACTGAATTTAATCTAAACTGAATTTAATAATTCCTATTTCAATTGCTCGCCTACTATGAGGTCTTTTACGATCAATTCCGTCGATCGCAAAACATTTACCCTTTTCATTTGAGTACGGACCATTGAGCTTTATCGGACGTTCATCCGTGCCCAGTTCAAATTGACTTACCGAATCAATCAACCTAATTTTTTTAAAAACAATTGCTAGCTTTAGTCATACTCATTAAAAAATTTAATCGATAACTAATTGATTAAATTTCCTAAGGGAACATTTTTTCCTGACAATGACAGATCAAAGAAAATAACGCTATAAAGACGCTTTAAATAGAAAATTAAATAATCGTTTTAGTTTTTTACGTTTCCTGAAAAAGGCGTCTTTATATAATATATAAACAATTATGTGCAACCAACAGGTTTAGCGCAGAGAGTTAACAAAAAGTTATATGAAAGCCAAGGCAAAAAAATTGTAACACCATATAAAAACGACCAAGCATGATTGCTATTCAAAATACAATTTGCGAAAACGTATTTGCGTTTATTTATTAAAGAATTTAGGCAAAGTATGAACAAAGTGCTCTGACATATGTTTCATTTTAATGACGCGCTTCTAAAAAACGAAACCAAAATAGACTTAATCAGCAGTGGATGGAAGATGCGTGAAAAGGATGGAAGCTTGAACAGTTTACTTAAACTGAAAACCTTGAACTATGGGTATAAAATTGAAATGGTTATTATGGATCCACTAAACAATCCCTTAACCCGGCACTACTATGCTGCACGGCGGTAAATGTTAGGTCCTTTTTTCTTGTGATTGTTGAAACTTTTTTTTGCGGCAAAAGGCTATAATTTTCCCGCTTTTTATTTCATTTTCTCAGGTGTTTCGCATTGACTGAGGGCAACTATGCGCCACTTCGATTGAGGAGATTAGCGGCAACGTGAACAAATTGGTGTGGGCTCAACTTGTAATAATTCTTGGTGGCTATTTTTTCGAATAAATAAAGAAAACAGGCCGATTTTTCCAGCTGAACTGCGGAATAGACATATCCCCAATGAAGTGAGATTAGATAAAAAGAAGTCCAATATATCACCAGAAACCCGCCTTTAAAGTCGAATTACAACTAAATATTTCACCTAAAAGGGAGAGCGTGAGAGAGGGAAAGAAGGGTAAATATTACTTGGAGTCAAGTTACTCTCATTTTAACTATTTGCTTGTTACTTTGAAAAAACAAAGATTTTTTTGTTTTCAGCAGCCCTGTACGGGTGGAGAATAGAAAGTAGAAATAGAATGGCCACGGATACCAGTTCACGCGCGGGCGATGAACTTCAGTTATAGGTGGGCGTGATTGATTAGGCGATTGTTGTTGACTTCTCCACTTTTTCTGGGAAGGGGGCGGCGATGAACAGATGCACTCACCGGAAGCAACTGACGCTCATTCCCAATTTCCCCTCTTAGCAAACACAAGTTTGTTCACGTTGAACATTTTATTTCGTTTGTTCAAATGCAAAAGAGGTGTGAGTTATTATCACAAGTGAAGAGTGATTGATGATTCGGATGCCAGATTAAAAAATTGTCCCGGAAATTTTCCCGGAGTAAAAAAGACAAGAATGAAAAGAAAAATGGTCTGTTAAGACCTCTACCGCCAATTTGCCCAGAAAGCTTGTATACGCGAGTTTTGGGGAATCCTGCTGCGCTACAATTAGTTATTTAAATTAGAAAACAGTTGTTTTTTAAAAATGAACTTATGTCTATTGAACAAAGAGAGTTTAATGTCATGCCAATAGAGTAAAAAGTAAAAAAACCTCTCTTATGTCACTAAACTAGTTCAAAATGGATAACTGCTTATTTGCTTTCTCTGAAGCAGTGAAAAGTAATAAATTGGTTTGGATTTTCTCATCAAAAAACTGAAAAAAAAAACAATTTAGCGAAGAAACGAAGCACTGGTGTTCTAAGGGCCATTGGGGTACGACAAGCTTCGTTAGCTTCCATTCAAAATGCCAGTTGCTAATTTTTGCAGTAAATGTCAAGCTTCTTCGCCCAAAATAGTGGCATCCCAAAATGATTTCGTAGCTTCAAAAAGAATCACATCTAGTCCAAGTTCAAAACAATTACTGTTGTGATGCAGAAGAAAAAGTAAATTCAAAAGTTAGAAACAAGTTTCAGCCTGAGCTTTGGTTTGATATATTAAATTAACTATGCTAGTTTTTGCTAAATAATTTTTGAAGGTCAGATTGTTATTACACCCTTTAGAATTCAAGTATTTTCTGCAAGATCTCCTAGTCTAATTTGGAAGGAAATAGCAAAGCGCTATTTTTATGACGGCAAGCTTGTCTTTCTAATTCCTTCATCTTCGTTTCAATCCAAATATAGACAATAAAGCTTAGGTACTTCAGTTTTTGATTGGCTCCTTCAAAACCGATTAAATGACGATTATAGTCACGTGAGATTATGTTATGACTACATGTTGTAAAAATGAATGATTTGAATTGTTTTTTTTTATATCGAGCGCGCTTTTTGGCGGTTGGAATTACGTTTTTGGCTGTTAATGAAAAATGTATCCTCTAACTTTGTTTGCCAGCCATGTGTTACTCCAGCAAAATCAATAATTGAAAAAAAAATTAAAGGTCACCAAAATCTAATCAGAAATCTGTTTCTGTGTCTTTGAACTTCAAAGCTTCAGCGCATTTCTCTTTCAGTGATTTGACCCCCTTGGGTCCTCAAAAATGGATATTTATTTAGCCATTTTTTGCTATAAAGAGAGCATCTGCGGCACGCCGCTGGCTCTCACTGCCACATTAACTCAGTTGGAGTCTTTTCAAATCCGATACACGTCACTGACTATCAAGTTAGTTAAGGATATAAGTACGATGCGCAACCACTGTTTGCCAAGTTCTGATGCTTGCACAACCATTGTACGCTGCACCATATCACCGCAGTCATAAATTAGTCATTACTTTCATCATGGCTATCTCTCAGATTGCCAAGAGAAATCAAAGTTTCTAAATTTGTCTACACACCGATCGAAAGCAAGCGATTATTTGATTTGAACTACAAAAGCCTCAAATGCTGCTGCTTGTGATGATTGAAAAAAGTAGAAAAATTAAAATTCATAATTAACAATTGTGATTACAGTACAACGAGTAGTATCATGTATAGTATAGTAAGTGTAAAGTACATGTAGGTAGATGGTACTGGTAGGTAAGATATCGTATTAACTAAACTCAGAATTGCACAATTGAGTATTTCGAAGTGAAATTGATCTTCTAGCATACTTCAACAGTCTTTTTCAGCTGTCATACTTTCCAGCTGACCCTTTCTCCTTCCATCTTCCCTTTCCTTTTCTTGCCAGCCTACTTGGGCTAGGCTGTCTTGGAGTGGGGCGCTGGTTCAGGAGCTGGCTGAAAAAACTGCTACTATTCTGTTCTGCACGTGTGGCGTTCTTCAGTTCACATCATTTCACTTTTGACGTCCGGATTGGCTAACAAACTATTGATGTTCTGGAGATGGAGATGATTTGGCAAGAAGGCACTTCGAGGACAGACACGAAGACGAAGAGAAGACAACTAAACCAACTAACTGCTGCTGGCAAACGTAGAAACTAGAGAGGACAAAGTGAAGCCACATGCAGAATCTATTGCTCTGCGATAGCTTCACATTCTTTCCTTCGGCTTCCAGTCGTTCATTATAAGATAGTTCTCGAATTCTTCTCTTTCCAGTTACAATAAATTCGAAATGCACCAACGCACGATGGAAAAAAGAACTGAAAATACGTGCATTTCTGGCGGATACAAAAATCACAGCACACGACGAGGACGACATTAGTTGGTTTGTATTTCTGTAGTTCGAGGCCTGCTAGTTCGACTGATTCTGCTGCTGACTTGATGAGATAACTTGATCGTTTGCTGGTAATAGTGGTGGCAATAACATAACTAGAACAGTTTCTCAGGTAGCTGCAGTCTTCAGTCGAACCTTAAAAGCTCCAAACAATGTACAGAGTGGGAAAAGGAATAACAAGGAAAATGAGATAAACAAGTTCATCAACACGCGCTAAGTTGTTGTCTAAAATAGGAGAATGAAGTAAAGCACAAAAAAGGGCGCCAAGGCTAATCAGATTAAAACAAATCGAACAAAAACTAAATCTGCTGCACTGACGAATCTTGGCGCTGTCAGTAACTTGGGTCGAAATAAGCTGCATGTCGCTAACTAAAAGGAGAGAGAGTTGAGGAGGCGAATTTGGACACTTTGGAATGACAAGAAAAGATTCCCCCTGAGTTGCTACTCGCTAGCATGGTCGACGTTGAAGGCCCATTCGATTGCGAAGTGGAGCTTGGGGGCGACTGGTGTAACGAGAGCGTTAGGGGCGAACAGGAGGAAAATGCTGATGATGATGACAGTGAGTGAAATGAGTTGATTGCGGCGGCGGCGGTATTGGCAAACTGATTGGAGCCGTAGGACGTTTGCAGGTGGTTCGATTTCAGCTGCTGTTTTATGGGCGGACACTGGTGAGACATTAATGTCGATGACGATGAGGTTTTCTGTTGTTGGCAATTGTCGCTGGATGAGTTTGAGTTGTTAGTTTTCCCTGATGCTGCTGCTGCTTCTGAGGTCGTGACCCCGACAGTCTTTGCCGATTTCGCTTCATTCTCCTGCTTTTCACCGGAGGAGGAACTGTGGTATGGCAAGCTGCCGTAATCCGACGTGTAGTCTGTGGTCGAGCTGGAGAGGGACTTGGACTTCTCCATCGAACTGCAGGTGGAAGGTGATTGCATCGAGGAGTTCTCGAGAGATGATGATAAAGAGGTAATGTGGGTGTCCAGAGCACTGTCTGTGCTGCAAGTTGAGGTGGGAGTTGTTGTTTTTGTTGCCACTGTAGCCGTACTACTGTTGGCGCTGCTGCATTTAGAGGTAGCATTCACTGGAAATTGGTCTACTGACCCGTTCATCATTGATTTCGACAGACCCAGTCCTGAGTCGTTGTTCTCGTCACAGCGAGGCGACGAAGTTGTCGGCTTGAAAATTTGGCTGCTTCTTCGACAAGATCTCAGCCAGGGATGTGTATACAATTCATCGATGGTTGGCCTTTTGTCTGGTTTGAGGGAGAGCATTCTTCTGATTAGGTCTTGGCAAGCTAGAAATAAAGAGCATCATATAAACGCATTCCATTTAACCAACTGTACATTCATTTGAATAACAAAAAGTACTTACAGTCGGAAATTCCGTCTGAGAAGTAGAGTGATGCTTCACAGATGTCTGTGTCAGAGTGGAATGGTATGTCACCCATGACCATGTCGTAGAGAAGAATTCCAAGAGACCACACAAGTGCCGGAACTGCTCTATAACATCTTAGTCGTATCCACTCGGGCGGAGAATAAACTCGAGTTCCTTGGTAGTCTTCGTAGAATTTCTTGGCATCAAAATAGGCTCCTGCTCCAAAGTCAATCAGTTTCAGCTGGTTGGTTTCCAAATTCACCAGAAGATTTTCGTCTTTTATGTCTCGGTGAACAATTCCGATCTGCATTAGTCGATCGCAAACTGCAAGTACTTGGAAGAAAAAGTCTCTCGCTTTCTCTTCTTCAAGGGTGTGAAAAACTTCGATATGATCGAATAGATCTTGACATGTGGCGGGACGCTCCATGACGATGACGAAACTGTTCGCAGTCTCAAACCATTCGTACATTTGAATGATGCCTTCCTCGAGTTGACTGGCTTCCGCTAGAAGTTTTATTTCGAATGGCACAGTTTTTCCATTCAGCTGTAATAGAAAGTTCAGGATAAGTTTTGTAGAGATTCTTTAAATATATATATATAGATTACAAGCTTGTGTATAAGCCAGAATCATTTTTTTAGTTTCCTTTCATTGAAATAACAATAAATTCCTGTGCTCACCTTAGCCCATGATGTAACTTTGTTCCTGGCGATGTCTTTGATGGCAACAGGAAGGTTGTCATGGATTCTGGTTCCAGAATACACGCGACCGAATCCACCTGATCCGATCTCTTCTCCGCAGTCGTATCTGCTGTACACTTGCTGCCAGTTTCCCATGCTACTTCCTCCTAAAACATCACCGAGCAAACTTTTCTCAAATGACGTCCAAGAGAAGGAGACAAAATTTGTTCGAGATATGCGAAAAAGACGTTTCAGAAATTGGCAAGATAAAAATGCGACTCCAGAAATAGCGCAAACGTGGATGGGCAAAATAAGGCCAAAATAAACTAATAACCTTGATCCGCAAACCTATTTTTTATTTTGATCTACTTAAACAAAAAATGGAAAAACTTTCACGAAAACCGTAATTTCTTCTGACATACCTGTCTGCGTTCGGGGACTCATTCTTAGGATTCTCTCAATTGCTGGAATGTACTCTTTCGTAACAATCAGAGATAGCAAAAAACTGGAATATGTTTTTTTTTGTGCCAGTAAGGGTAACTTTTGAGGATATTGTTTTCTGTCAATGAAATCAAATTTTTGATTTTAGAGCACTTAGAGTAAAATTCAAACTGAAAATCGAGTAAGCAAAATGCGCGTTTTACTTTAAATTATGCGTCTCGTTTTGTGTTACTATTAAAATGAGCCGCCGCGATTTCGATTTGTTAATGTTGTCTAATTGTTGCAATTCGTCACAAATTCGCGATATGAACCAACGAATACCATTTTTTTTCCAATTAACCTAATTGCTCTCAATTTTCAAAATTTAGGTAATTTGCTGCGTAAAAGAATTTTCAAAATTAGGCATTTAACGTTGATTCAGCTTCAGTTTTCTTTGCGACTACTTGGAGAACGGAACAAAGAGTTAAATTTTTGAATAAAATTAGCCAATAAGAATTGAGCTTAAGCACGTGATGGCGCGCTGACGACTCAACGAATATCAACTGATACAATGTTCGTCATATAGTCACGTTTTACTCTAAAATAAGCGCTCTAACTTCACTCTACACCTTCAGTTCTTTTCCCTTCAACCATCTCAGGTCCATTCACAAAGTCCACGTACCATGAAGTCCCGTGCAATCCAGCCACGACTGAAAAGGAAATACAATTGCAGTTATACGCCAACGTAGCCTGTGAAAAGCACGACAGACAAGACAAGAACACCAGTTCGTTTATTCCAACCAGAACTCGCTTTATGCTGGCCCTATGGTTATCCCTACCCCTACCCTCCCCCGCCCCGCTCCGCCAAGACCTAGCCATCACCACCACCATCGACGTCTCGCTTGTTCGTCGTGTAGTCGTGCTACGTACCTAGTAGCTAAGCTACTGCCATTTACACCATATCCATATAACATAGCATACAACTACAACCCCCACACACGAAACAATAAGAGAAGTATTCCCCATCCAATTAAAGCCCATATGAAGGATTACATACCTTTTTGCACTTGCAATACCTCTCATCCTCCTCCTCCTCCTTCTCCTCCTCCTCCTCCTCCTCCCTTTTCTACGAATACTAGCCGGTTCAGATAGTTTCACAGACAGGCGAGACAAGTCGTAACCGCTCGCCACGCGACGCGACTAGGCTTTAGCCGATTGACTACGCAAGTACGTTATAGCTAGACACAATTTGTAGGAGGTAGGGCGGTAAAACAGAGCGTATATCAAGACTATCGATCGAATGTACCTAGGTTTGGCAATGCAACGACTAACGAGCATTCTCCTACCTGATTTCAGGGAACGTACCAACCCAGTCATTTCAATATAGCGAAACGAAACCAAATTATTTGAAGCGTCCAAGGCGGGCGACATTACGCGCTCACTAGAATACGTCAGTAGCAGTGCGCCATTTTGCTTCCCCAAATCGTTTGCAGCCGTCACTAAAAGGCTATTAAGGTTGGTAAATTGTAGCACAAAGCCCTTTTGTCGCTGTATCAGAAAAGCAGTGACACAATCCCAAGCCCAATTTTACAGACTAATGCGTTGTCTAGAATGATTCTGCACCAGATATAGTTTCAACCAACTAATTCAACTTCAATTTCATCACCAAGACAGGTCAATTAAGATGAACCCGATACGAGTTTCTATTTTGAGCTCAGATCCAATTCCACCTAGATTAAACCCTTGTTCCCAGCCAAAATCCAAATATAACAAGGATAGCAGGTTGCTGTCAAATACACACCCAAGTTCCGACCACTGATTGAAAATTCAAAACAAATTGAAAAATGAGGAAACAGGAGATTGAATTATGTTAAAAAATGCTCGAAGAGGGGTCTACTCAAAAGCAAATATAACGGGAAATTGTAGAAAAACTAAATTGAGATCATTCTTTGTTCTACTGAGACCAGCCTTAGTTCTACTTAATGTCGGCATAAGCTAATTTCGTCTAAAAACAAAAAGTTCAGACCATTTTTTCTCGACACCGACACAACTTTGACAAATTTTCTGGCTTCAATCTGATACCACACACCACACTTAACTCCCTAGACGGCCGATGAGACTTCAGGCCGAATCGCAAAATGCTAGATGAAAGTGTCCAATTGGAAAAGGATGAAATCCAGATATTTTTTTGAAAAAGCAATATGATATAAGAAGAGATGTTTCACATTCTGTAACGCGTTTTTCGGTCTTTTAAGCTTGGAAAAATTTATCAATCATTCTTATTTGGAATCGTTTTTGAGTCAATTTAATTGCCACTTATGACGCGTTGATGAAAACTGTTATAAATATAATATCACCATGTAATTATCTAAAGTTGGCAAAATTACTCCAAATCAAACCGCCTTTTCTTGAGAAAAATGATGACAGGTGAAATACTGGGAGCCGGAAATCAAGCCGACGTGACTTCAGGCCGAAATGGTAAAACTTAGACAACATAAAATTGGAAAAGAGACAATGAACGCAAGTAAACAGAAAAAATGCTGACTTGTTTTTTGAAAAAGGTCAACATGCGAATTTCAAAGAAAAAAAAAGCTTTTAAAGCCCTTAAAGCTCTTTGAAAAGTTTCAGATTGAAAGAAATTTCCTTTTCTTTCACCATTTTGAAAGAAATAATCCAATTTTAGAAAACTGGATCAATCAGTATTAACTTTTTGCTGTGAAATCTGAAAATTAAATTTCACTTTCGAAACTAGAAGTCGACCGCGTTATTTGTGACCTTTACTCTGTTGCTGTTTGAAAGTGAAATTTTATTCCTTTTAACAAAGGCAATGAACTGAACTTCAAAAAAATCAAAAGTCAAACCTCGAGAAAATTAATTTGAGCCTGATCTTTTCCTGACAAAAACAAAAAATCCATTGCGACCTATATAATAGTCTAAACTACGTTCATGGACTCTTAATTAGAGACTCAAAGCCGAACAATTTCTCAAAAAAAACTTAAAGTATGCTTAACTTGAAATCTCTATATATCTTCACCAGTTACTAGCTTTTTTCGTAAATTTGAAACCTCTACTTGATGTTTAGGAATGCTAAAAACTAACATTCATGAAGGGTTTTCACGGGGTATTTCATTTAATGTATTTCAAAATCCGACTGATGTAACTAATGGATACCATGCCCAACGTGCATTGTCCCTTCCTTTTAACAAAGGCAATGAACTGAACTTCAAAAAAATCAAAAGTCAAACCTCGAGAAAATAAATTTGAGCCTGACCTTTTCCTGACAAAAACAAAAAAACCATTGCGACCTGTATAATAGTCTGAACTACGTTCATGGACTCTTAATTAAAGACTCAAAGCCGAACAATTTCTCAAAAAAATTATAATGTATGCTTAACTTGAAATCTCTATATATCTTCACCAGTTACTAGCTTTTTTCGTAAATTTGAAACCTCTACTTGATGTTTAGGAATGCTAAAAACTAAAACATTGTTGAAGGATTTTCACGGGGTATTTCAATTAATGTATTTCAAAATCTGGCTGATGTAACTAATGGATACCATGCCCAACGTGCACCGTCACGAATAACGTTTTCTAAGAACGAAACTCGCCTGAATTTTGAAAACTAAGATTTATTATGTGAAAAGTTGGCGCACTGAGGTTGCTATAAAATTAAAGTCCCTTCGGTTTTAAATTTTTTACCCTGTTCTCCTAAACCCGAAAAATTTTCAAATTTTGAGCTCATCATTTTCATGGAAACGTGTAAACAAATCATGTTCTTTGATATGCTGTCCTGGAAAATTTAAATAACAAAACTGATGATAGTTCGTTGTTTCGAATGGTCTCGTTTTGGTATAAAAACTGCTTAACTAACTGCACGAAAACTATTAAACTAAAAAAATCGAAACAACTTACTAAAGTCATAGCGAACAAATAGTTGGAAAAAACAAAAATGGAAGAAATAAAATGAACACAAAATTCGATTTGAAGAAAAATGGCATTTCTAAAAAACCATTTTTCAAAATTGAAAACTATTTAGGTTTTTATCGCCATTCCTGATGTTTTCAAATGAAGAGTGTGACTTACCATCCTCTAAAATGAAGAAATTGAGATAAGTTCCTCGAAAATTATTGTCAAACCATAAAAATCAAGGTCTGAACAAAAACAGAAAAACAATCAACACGACTTATATAAGTGTATTCACTACGTTCGCTAAAGAGAAGCTTATTTTTAAGCAGGCCGAGGCTATTCGTGAAGCAGAAATTGTGAGTTAGCAGATGAGCACCTAGACAATTTACCGTGCGATAATTTAGTGTTCCAACTTTCGAAGACCTCCGACTTCTATTGTTGTCCTGAGCTTGAACTTGAGAAAAAAGTTATGGGGGTTTAAGGATTTTCGCCAATATGAGACAATCAACGCGCGACGTATTTCGCGCTATTATCGCGTAAGCGGAGAGTTTACCGGAAGAATAAATCGTTCCAAACTGATTGAGGTACGCCATTTGCTACTTCACTTTAGATTTATGTTCCGACTTTCGTAAGGAAAGTAACGGAATGTTTGTGGTCGGGGTGGTTTTTTTTCTTCAGACAAATTTCGATTTTTTAACTAGCCATTTTTGACGGAATTTTTAATCTCAATCAAAATAAATTGTTATCCTGAGCTTAAGTTTGAGAAAATATTTCACCTGTGACCAATTTTAGTAAAAATATTGGGATTTAAAGATTACCATTTTGGCCAATAAGGGACAGTTAACGTGCGATATATTTCGCGCTATTAACACTTAAGCGGAGATTTAATCCGTCTTAGAAACTATTCCAAATTGGTTGATGGGAGCTTATTTTCATAATAGATTTGATACTAGGAGCGAAATTTATCATTTTGTGCTTTATATGGCGTGTGGTTGGACGTTTTTACAAAAAAAAAAAAACAATTTTTGACCAAAACATTGCGTTTTTTCTGCCGTTAAATTTAGTATATACTGGCGTCCAAGGCGGCTTAAGAAAAAAATTAGGTTCGAACGGCAAAATTGGATAGGGTAAACTAGAGCGAAAGAGGACCTTTTGGGTGGTGAGGTGGAGTTGAACTCCAGAGTTCCGCCCCTGAATTCTAAATCTTTTCGTATTAATTTTAATTTGCTGGTTACTTTTGATGATTCGCAAAAAAGAAGTCAAAATCATATAAAAACAGTGATAAAATTTCAAGATTTCGCTCAAAACAATAAATTTCAATTTTGAATAAAAAGCAAGATTAGCTACAGAGCGAAATTTATCACTTCGAATCTTA